CTTAACTACAGGCACAAAAAATCTCCCTATCTTAGTGGCACTGTCAACTCACATGGCACTCAATTGATCTTACTAGATGGGTCTTTAGAAATTTCTGTATACCTCAGTTACTGTAATAGGTTAGGTTAGGTTAGGTTAGGTTTGGTTAGGTTAGGTTAGGTTAGGTGCAGGAAATATCATTCACACCTTTACGAGACCTTAGTGCATTCATTGTATCATCCAATTCTCACATCCACCCTCTCCCCTCACTCTCAAGCCCAGAGAGAGAGAGAGAGAGAGAGAGAGAGAGAGAGAGAGAGAGAGAGAGAGAGAGAGAGAGAGAGAGAGAGAGAGAGAGAGAGAGAGAGAGAGAGAGAGAGAGAGAGAGAGAGAGAGAGAGAGAGAGAGAGAGAGAGAGAGAGAGAGAGAGAGAGAGAGAGAGAGAGAGAGAGAGAGAGAGAGAGAGAGAGAGAGAGAGAGAGAGAGAGAGAAAGAGAGAGAGAGAGAGAGAGAGAGAGAGAGAGAGAGAGAGAGAGAGAGAGAGAGAGAGAGAGAGAATATAAATCCTGGCAGTCTTTCTCCTTTCCTGTTCTGTGTGTCAGTGCTGTCATCAGCCAATCACATTAATACGCCTGTTGTCTCCTTTTTGACTGGCTGACTGACTAGGCAGCTGACGTCTCTGCTAACCATCGGCTGATTGGTCTCCTGACTGCTGACAATCTCCCTGACGGATGGCCTGAGTGATTGCCTCTTATGGCTGTCTCACTGGGGAGTAATCACCTACGTCAGCGGAGTCACCTATCGAAAACACAATCACCTGACCCAATTAAGTCTTCTGCCCCTGATAATTAACCTGTCCCTGATATAAGTCACCTATCTATAATCTAATCCACCTGTCCTAATTAATTTACCTGTTCAGAATTTGAACCACCTGTCCCAATTAAGCCATCTGCCCTAATCAAGTGCCCTGTTCTCATTAAGTCAACTTTTCTAATTAAGTCACCTGTTCCACACGTTGTAACAGTGCCACATACGAATTAGCAGTGCCACACACGCATTAACAGTGCCACACACGCATTAACAGTGCCACACACGAATTAACAGTGCCACACACGAATTAACAGTGCCACACACGAATTAACAGTGCCACACACGAATTAACAGTGCCACACACGAATTAACAGTGCCACACACGAATTAACAGTGCCACACACGCATTAACAGTGCCACACACGCATTAACAGTGCCACACACATATTACTACGTATTATAAAAACGGAAAAAGCAACAATACCTTTTGAGGGACTTTATTCAGACTCGTATTACAACCAAATAAAATACAACAAACAAGCAAAAATTATGCCTGACGCAGCACCCGGAAGCATATACAGTATATATATCGTCTGGCGAAAGGGAACGATAATAGCTATTAACTGCTCGTACTGGCACTGTCCTTCTGGCTGTTAGGGTCTGTTGTCCACCATTACATCCGCAATCAACAGACATCAACAGATTAACAGTAACACGAGCCTGATTTAATCAACGGGAGGAGATTGCAGCCTTGATAATATTGAGAGCTCTGAGTCGTCACTCCGTCAGGCTCCCTTTGTGAGTTCCAAGAATCTCTGGAGTTTAATTTATGAGATCAGGAGTGGCGGGAATAGCCCATAGGGGGTAGGAGACGGGAGGAGACGGGAGGAGGAGATAGACGGGGTAAGGAGGAGGAGATAGACGGGGATTAGGAGGAGGAGGAGGACGGAGCAAATAGACGGGGAGGAAGAAAATGTTGGAAGACCAGTAGGAGGTAGACGTAAAGAGGAAGAGAGGAAGAGAAGGAAGAGTGGTGGTGAAGAGGAGGAGGAAGAGGTGAGAGCAACAGGGGGATGACGTTAGGTTAGGTTCGGTCAAGGTAAACACAAGTCACAGGTCACACAATAATTAACAATCCCAGGTAAGGTCAAGACAAGTCACAATCAGAGTACAATCACAAACCTTCATGTCACATCCATAATTACAGGAAATCACACGAACGTCATGAATCTCCAGGTAAATCAGGAAACGCCACGAGTCAGGTCAAGAAAGGTCAAAGATCAACGAGGCTAGTTACTGGAATATCACCTTTAATACATCAACCCGGCAACACGAGACACACTATGCATTAATAAGAGAATATACCACAAAGTTCTACGTCACATTTCACTGAACAATGGACAAGTTTGGTACAACGGCGGTGATTAAAGATAGTGAATTATATACCTCCAATAAACCTTCATTAAATTCTATATATATACAAATTCATGGTATAAAAACTCCACTATATACCTTTAAGTTAAGCCAAACCTTTACTAAACTCTATATATAAATTCATGGTAGGGAAAATATTATCAAAGTCTGTATATATAAATTAGTGACAGAAAAAAACCTTCATTAACTCGATACATTTAATTTAGGTTGAAAGTTAAGGACGTTCCCGTATTTCCGTATTTCATGTAAGTAATTTTTATGTTTTTATCCTGTGTTCCAAGATAATGTTAAGTTCTATAGTCTGAATTTTGCTTATTTATTTACAGTGGGGACGGTGGGATATGGTGGGGAGGGAGGAGGGACGATGGGGAGGGAGGGGGGAAAGGTGGGGAGGCAGGGGGATGAGAGTGTCAGGGTGTAGATGTAAGTGAGGGAGGAGGGGAGTACGTCAGGGTGTTGGTGTACGGGAGGATCAATATGGCGTCTCTTTGTTTACACTGTGTAGCAATATCTGTTGAGCGTCTGGGTAGCTCCTCCACCCCTGTATTGACGGTCAACAACAACACGGAGATTATACCGCGCTTGGAGGTTGTTCAAGGTGTTCCTTCTGTTCACTAAACGTTATTTTAGTCTCAGGAGATGAAGTTACACCTTAGACTGTGTACCAACAGGAGAGAGTTATCGGTACACTGATCTACACTTGTTAATAACGAGTGTATGATCAGGTTCCTCCTATGCCAATTTAAATCACTCCTTCACTTAAGTAGATCCAGTTAGCGGTGGGATAAGAGGCAGGAGGCGAAATGTGTGAAGAGGATCAGAGACTCAATGAGGTGATGGTAAGTTACGTCAACACAACTCAGTCAACAACTTCTGCAAACAGCCGAGAGTAACATCCTACCTCGCCATCATCTTATCGACGGCATTTAAGAACCCTTCAACAGAGTGCCACTACTACTAAACTAATACTCATGGCATCTTAGTTATAGGACCCGGCCGTTAGTATTTTACAAACATTCTCAAAAACGGTATTAATGTTCTTGAAAACACCAGAACATAGCAGGGGGTTATAAGGGGGGTGAGAAGGGGTTGTGTTGGGGGTGGGTGAGAAGGGAGGGGGAGGTTGTGGGAAATGGTGGGGAGGTTGTGAGGAGTAGTGGGAAGGGGAGGTTGTGAAGGGCGATGGAGAGGGAGGTTGTGGGAAATGGTGGGGAGATTGGGGTACTGGTGAGGAGAGGGGGGGAGGAGGCTATGAACAACAACACAATCAGTTACTAACACTCAAACAAACTTTCTCAACACACTGAAAAGGATTAATGATCTGGGCTGTCCGATTCAGCTCCCGATGTCCTCCCTCAGGTAACGTCTCAGGTGTTTAGTGTCAATACCTGGTGATTTGTGAGTTGAATGGAGGTGGACAGGTGAGGGTGTATCAGGCCGCTCTTGACACTGTCCTCACGCAGTGGACGAAACGTTACTATACTTCTATTAGGTAATTCAGTAAATATAATAATAATACATATGTATGATTAATATATTATTACGCCATGATTTGCATAACATGGACTGTAATAATAGAGGATTTACATATTACAAAGTCATATAATATGCATTGAAATATTACGAAGCCTTATTAATACATGCGATAAATTGTATAATATGCGACTGTAATACCCAATTTCTACCATAAAAATTAATTTGATATTTCGTATGATCAATGTCTAGATATTTACCTAAGAAAATAAGAACATTAAGAATGGAGGAAACTACAGCGGGCCTATTAGTCCATACTGGGCAGTCCCATTTACACCAAACCCCTATTACTCATATATCCATCCAACCTATGTTTGAAGCTATCCAGCGTATTCGAGTTAATGATGATGTTTGGTAACTTATTCCACTCATCCACAACTATTTCCAAACCATTGTTTACCTATTTCGCGCCTAAATCTACGAGTTCGCTCCTGGTTGGATAGTTTAAGTACCTTTGTTGTATCACCTTTGTTTAACCCTGACTTCCATTTATACACCTCTATCATATAGCCCCTCACTCTACGTGTCTCGAAGGAGTGTACATTCAGATGCTTTAACCTGTCTCTGTACTCAAGGTTCCTAATGCCCGGGATTAGTCTTGTTATTCTCCTCTGAATGTTTTCTAGGAATTCTATATCCATTCTGTAGTACGGTGGCCAGAACTGAACTGCGTCATCCAAGTGAGGTCTCACAAGCGCAAGATATAGTTTTAGGATAACCTCGCTAGTCTTGTAACTAACACTCCTTTGTATAAACACAAGTACTTTATTAGCCCTGTTTCGAGCAAATACACATTGTTTACTTGGTTTAAGATTCCTACTTATCATTACTCCTAAATCTTTCTCACAGTCAGATTTCTCTATAACATCGTTGTTCATCTGTTATCTGGTCTCTCTGTTTGCATCTCCTAGACTAAGTACTTTACATTTGTCCCGTTAAATCTGCCATTTTTCAGACCATGCAAAAAATTTGTTTAGATCTTTCTGTAGTTTTGCGGAGTCCTCGTCAGAAGAACACACACACACACACACACACACACACACACACACACACACACACACACACCTCAAAACAAACATTATAATCACGAGTATTATTAAAAAAAAAGACATTCCCACTTTTCTACCATTTTGAATAGAAGACAAGACTTAATTTATATATTTACAAAATATAGAAATACTAAAATATAACGTACGATACAATTAACTTATAAACATAATTCAGAAGTAGTTTAATTACTGTACCTTGGGATTAACGTGGTAAATGCCTCGGTGGTACCACATAGTCCAGAGCCCTGACTTGACCACACGATTCAGGGATACAGCCTGCTAGGGTCATCCAGGGATACTTGAGTACATCAGCAGACACAATGATGATTTATGTGGATAACCTAAGTCATCCACGAACACTTTGGGTCATCCACGGACAGAGTAACGGACACGGGTAGTTTATTGCTCAACCCATATCAGTGGGGTGAAGATGAGCTTGGTCGCTATGTAAACACTTGCCAAAATTTTCCATTGGAGGTTCGCCATTATTTTCCAGGTTACATAAATCTCACTTGTAATTTCCCCATTCATTCATAAATACAGACACCATTAATTACACTAGTTCATATTGTTAATCCCTGTTATATGGTAAAAATTATTTATTATTAACGTTACTAACATGAGGTTAAAGATCTTCATTTTTACGAAACAGAGAGAGAGAGTGTATGATAGATGTATGTTATTTACTGCTTTTTAACTTTAATTAAATGAACCTAACCTAACCATACCAAACCTAACAAGATATGAAGTCACCTATTCAAAACTAACCTAACCTAACTCCTAACTAATCTAAAACCTTTCCTAACTAAAAATCAAACCTAAAACCTAACCTAACCTAAGACCTAACCTAACCTATAACCTAAGACCTAACCTAACAAGACCTAACCTAACCATTACAGACGAGGATTCCCAGAAGCCTGACATAAACTGCTTTGTTGTGCCAAACCTCCACCCGTGTGCTATACAGGTCATAACGCCATAACATCCGGCTAATTATACCTAACCTACCACATGACACAATTACACGAGCGATCATAACATGTAATTACTAAGGTTTGGCATGACAATTGCTTTAAGAACATGACAGTGTAATAATTTACTCTCAATAGCTCCATATAACGTGTTATTTTAGCTAGTTTATACTGCTATTGTAATCTATTGAGGGTAAATTGCTATTTTGGGGACATTTTTAATTGACGTGGCTTTTGAGTTATAGCTAGCAACGTGGAGAGGGGTGACGTGGTTTATGGGTTAATTAGTTGACCCCAGGTGAGTTATTCTATACACAGGTGAGTTATATTAGTCGCTGGTGGTAGTTATATGTGACTTGCAAAATAATACAGGTAGCAACAGGTGACTCATATACAGGTAACAACAGGTGACTCATATACAAGTAACAACAGGTAACTCATATACAAGTAACAACAGGTAACTCATATACAGGTAACAACAGGTAACTGATACACATGTAGTGGTAACAAGTGACTCCTATACAGGTAACAACAGGTGACTCGTATACAAGTAACAACAGGTAACCAATATACAGGTAAGTAAAATGCAGGTAAAAACAGGTAACAGGTGACTCATATACAGGTAACAACAGGTAACTAAAGCTCACTGGCCATAAGGTACAGTCAGCACAAACTTTCTTCATTAAAACAAAAATTTTAATCCTCAACTTCAGCTCTGAAATAACACTTCAACATTCACCAACTCCCTAACATCGACCTCCCAACATACCATGGAAAAAAATATTACTAAAAATCTATCATAAACATTAATAAACATCAATTTGTGTTTATAGATTAACGTCTTTGGTATGTTTTTAATGGGTCGTCACTCCTATTACATCCAGGTGTTCCAGTGACTATTTAATCCTATTTAGAAGGTTAATTGGGTAAATAAACAGACCGACAGACAGACAGACAGACAGACAGACAGACAGACATAACCAAATATCCCTGAATCGTAATAACAATGTACGAATATGATAAAAAGTAACATTTAATTCAACTGTTTACGAATCTTATTGAAATATAACACAATGAACAATATAATCCTAAAACATTAAGTCGAACTTCAATACATAACAGCCATGATGAATTATGAGTAATGTTGTGGTATTTTCATTATCATCGTCACCGGAAGTAACGTATGAGTGTATCAGCCATTACTGGAACAAAGTGTGGGTGAATTATAGCCTTGTATACCTCCAATGTCACGTATAACAACTAAAAAATTATATATCATGCATACCAACGTGTTATGGGAATATTTGGCAGTGAGGAATTAATTTAAGGAAACGATTTGTAGGTCAGTTTAATATAGATTCTCATTTGATCGTAAGTTTATGTGTTTTTCCTTCATTATTATTTTTCGCCATAAAGTAAAGTTTTGGTATAATTTTACTTAATGGGATAAAGTTTCAGTATAAAATCTACGCCATTTAGATCTATAATACGCCACTTAGGTCTACAGGTAAGATCCATCACAATTAGGCCTGTAAGTGTCCTCAACTTCGTATTAAAAACAAACCTCAATTATCCGGAATTTAACTAATATTAATCCTCTTGTATCCGGATTCTTATTTTTCTCCTTGTAAAATCCTCATAAAAACGCATTTGTATAGCTTATTCTAACTCACAGATAATCTTTTTTTACAGTTTAGTTTCTCTACAACATTTACTATTACTTAAAGCTGTAGTTATGAATAGTTACAAAAAATATAATAGTTTAAAGTACTATTACAACGTCAAAATATTTTACAGCGGAATATTAAAGAGAAACTCTCTTTTAACCGACATATTCTCATATCCGGCACTCCCTCAGTCGGGAAGTTGCCGGATAATGAAACTTTTACTGAATTTTGATGGAAAATAGAGGAAAATCGATGTAGTCTTTTATGCAACATTAATTGTTTAAGCTCTCACAGGAGGCGTGGTATCTCAGCTCACAGGAGGCGTGTCATCACAGCTCACAGAGGTACGTTATCTCAGCTCACAGTGCTCAGGTACACTTACACCATTATTATTATTATTATTATTATTATTATCGTTGTTATTACGACAGATGGACGCAAACAATTCACTCACGTCTCCATAACTAAACATCTATATGTCCTTGTTCCGTTACAACATCCACTTATTCTTCCTGTACATCACTCTCTCACATTCTCTCAGTGGTGGTCATGTTAGCATACAAATTCGTCATTACATATTCACCTTCATACATACAGCTTTCACTACTGACTGAAATTAGCATCAATGGTCAAGCTGCTGTGACGCCAGGCAGTGGGGATTAATCTTATGTAGAGATGAACGGCGTCTCATTCAACCTAACACTAAAACACATCGCTAAATTTACGAACAGCTTTTATGGTGTAACATACATTAGCTTAGGGACAGTTCTTGATAGCGTAGTTCTATAACAGATAAGTTTGTTAACAAGTGAGGGATGTAGGTGTTGTCTAATGTGTGTTTATAGTCACCTGGCGCTACTAAATCCCTTTCAGTTGGATCAGATTCTCACCGTTGGAGAAGTCAATACTATGTTACATTGGGTTTCGAGGTTTATACAATGCTACAGTGATAAGAGAGTTTCAGATAACCAATAAATATGTATTTTCCATTGTAACTTGTCGTAGTGAATGATTGAAGAATACGTAGAATTTTAGGGGTCTGTTTTAAGGGATCCGTTTAAAGAGGTCCGTTTTAAGGGGTCTGTTTTAAGAGGTCTGTTTTAGAATCTATTAAAGGTGTCATCAATTCCGTCTTGTCATACATAACTTAATAAAATCAAATAAAGACGATGAATTAGTGAATAAGTCAGATGAAGACGATGAATTGATGACTAAAGCACTTGATGACGATGACCAACGTGAATGTTGAGAATGTAGACAACACAAATTAGCATACGCACCCCTCTCCCCCTCCCCTCCCACACCCCTCTCCCCTTCCCCTTCCCTCACCCCTCTCCCCCCACTCCTACCCCCTTCCTTGTCCCCCTCACCCCTCTCCCTTCTCTCCCACCCTCTCACTTGTCCCCCTCACCCCTCTCTCCCTCCTCTCAATGACCTTATTACATAATGACCGAAATTCATGCATACGAATGAGGTAATGCAGAGTATTAAAGGCATGTAAGGAAGAGCTTAGTATGCCCTTAGCAAATTTGTTTAACATGTCATTAAAAGCGGGTGTAGTGCCATAATCCTGGAGGACAGCGAATATGATACCGATTTTCAAGAAGGGAGACAGATCACTATCCTCTAACTAGTTCAATCCGTTTAACATCAATTGTAGGCAAATTGCTGGTAACAATAATTTCAAATTCTATTCGAAATCACCTGAAGAAGCACAAGTTGATCAATGATTCCCAACAAGTGGGCGTTCATGTTTGACTAATCTATTAATATCATTTCAGCTGTTTTCGAATCAGTGGACGACGGGCAAGATTATGATGTGGTATATCTTGACTTTAGCAAAGCCTTCGACAGAGTCCCCCACGAGAGACTAATGCGAAAAGTGGAGGCTCATGGCAGTGGAGGAGATATTCTAAAATGGATTAGGGTGTGGTTACAGAACAGGAAGCAGTGATTAAGCATTAACGGCACTAAATCCGATTGGAGTAAAGTCACTAGTGGAGTACCCCAAGGCTCAGTACTTGGCCCATTATTATTTATTATATACATAAACGACATAGATATCGGCATAGACAGCAACATAAGAAATTTGCTGATGACACTAAAATAGGACGTGTTATTAAATCTGACGAGGACTCGGCAAAACTACAGGAAGATCTAAAAAAATATTTCGAATGGTTTGAAAAATGGCGAATGAAATGTAAAGTACTTACTCTAGGAGATGTAAACAGAGAAACCAGTCATCAAATGAACAACGATGTTATAGAGAAATCCGACTGTGAGAAAGATTTAGGAGTAATGATAAGTAGGAACCTTAAGCCAAGTAAACAATGTGTATTTGCTCGTAACAGGGCTAATAAAGTACTTGGGTTCATACACAGGAGTGTTAGTTACAAGACTAGCGAGGTCATCCTAAAACTATATCTTGCGCTTGTGAGACCTCACTTGGATTAAGCAGTTCAGTTCTGGTCACCGTACTACAGAATGGATAAAGAATCCTTAGAAAGAATTCTGAGGAGAATGACAAGACTAATCCCGGGCATTAGGAACCTTGAGTACAGAGACAGGTTAAAGCATCTTAATTTGCACTCCCTCGAGAGACGTAGAGTGAGGGGCGATATGATCGAGGTGTATAAATGGAAGTCAGGGCTAAACAAAGGTGATATAACAAAGGTACTCAAATTATCCAACCAGGAGCGAACTCTTTATAATTGTTTTATATGAGACAAATTTAGATTTAGGCGTGAGATAGGTAAACATTGGCCTGGAAATAGAGTAGTGGATGAGTGGAACAAGTTACCAAATATCATCATTAACTCGAATACACTGGATAGCTTCAAACATAGGTTGGATGGATATATGAGCGATAGGGGTTTGGTGTAAACAGGACTGCCTAGTATTGGCCAATATGCCCGCTGTAGTTTCCTCCATTCTTATGCT